TGAGGATGAAGAACTCGAGCTGAAAAACACCATTCCTCAGACCTATAAGATGCCCAAAATGCCAAAATATGAGAGTACAGGCGATCCGAAGGTCCATGTGATGCAGTATAAGGTAATAAAGTAATTGGCGGGTCTATTGTTAAAAGAGATTTTGAAGATGTTCCTTATGTCCTTGACCGGGTCAACTCAGACTTGGTATTACAACCTAGAGAAGAAAGTAAGGAAAAACTGGAATGAGCTCACTACTGTCTTCCTAAAAGAATATGCCTACAACATCCAGATGAGTGACAATCTGAGAGATCTAGAAGCGACAGTGCAGAAAAGTGATGAATCCTTCACTAATTATAAGGCTAGATGGAGCGCCAAGGTCATACAAATGAGAAACCGACCTGATACTAAGGAACAGATCAAAATCTTCATCAAGGGAACCCTGCCCGCTTACTGAGAGAAAATGTATTACATGCCTTTGACCGAGTTCTCAAAAGTCTATGAGGCCAGTACTGCCATTTGAGGACAAGATGAGAGAAGATAAGAAATATGGGAACCGCACTGGGAACTTCAACAAGTCTGGTTTCTAAGGGTCTAGTTCTTCTAGGAAGACCCGAGTTTGAGCAAGAATAACACAACAGCCACCCTAGATTTGAGGGCCACCAGTATGCAGCCAAGGAGATTCTCCAATTTTTGAACTCCTCTGTCGAAGGTGTTTGAGAAAGTCAAGTCAGTGGGTTTGTTGCAACCGGTAGCACCGAGACCACATCTTGAACCTTTGCCAAAGAACTTTAATCGTAATGCTTAATGTAAGTTTCACCAAGGCAAAGGTCATACTACCGACCTATGTCTGTGGTTGAGACATGAAATCCAAAACTTTATTGATGTAGGCAAAGTGATAGATCCGGAGAAATCTAGGCCAAGCACTAGAACCAATCAATTGCCGAACTTTCGCAATGTGCCACCTATAAGAATTTATATATGGTTGAGTTTGGCAAGACTCCCGAGGAGGTGATGGCTGAATTTGAGGAGGAGGAAGAAAGAGAGAGAGAGCAATTGTTGGAATAGATTTTTGCGATGATCCTGAATGTGTGGGACAACAGTGATGAAGAATGGGTAAACCAGAATGAAGAGTGGGTTGAGAGCGAAGATGACTTGATAGTGAATCCCATTATTTTGGATTTTTGGAGTAACGAGAAGGAAGAGGAAGCAAAGAATGTGAATCATTTGACCCGCAGTGGTCAAATTTATCAGCCTGATATGAGCAAGTTTAGAGTAAAAAATGAGAAAGCTTGCCCATTGGTTATGCCAAAGAAAGATGATGAAGATGACGCATTAATCAAATAATTGAAAAGAACCCATGCTAATGTGAGCATATGGGACCTACTCGTCCCTTCCAAGAAGCACTGAGAGGCTTTGCTTAAACCTACGGTCTAGATTCTGGTCTCGTCATCAATCTCCACTACTGACTTTGTAGGGTTGGTCCAACATAACCCCCTTATAATCACTTTTTCTTATGACAAGCTTCATCCTAAGGGTAAGAATCACACCAAAGCCTTGTTTATTAAAGTTGAAGTTAGAGAAATGATAACGAACAATGTTATGATTGACGACGGCTCAGCTCTGAATGTATGTCCATTAAAGCTCTTGTCCAAGTTCAAGTTGAAAGTGTCAGATTTAGAACCTTCAAATATTATCATCTGAGCTTACAATGATTCCAAAAGACAAGTATAGGGTATATCAAGACAGTTGTTAAAGTTGGGCTGATTGAGAAAGAGACAGAATTTATTGTGATAGACATTCCCCCGACTTTTGCCCTGCTACTTGGGCGCCCATGGTACCATTCTTTGGGAAGTGAGCCATCTACGCTACACCAGAAAATTAAGTTTCCATTTAATGGTGAAATCATTACTATTCCAGCTGCTAATAAGAGAAGTGTAGTTGCATTGAATATTGACAAACAGGTCATTCTCCCATGGACTCGCTTCTAAATCGCAGTCCTAAGTACCCATATGGGGCCCGCTAACATCATGAAGAAGATGAATGTTAAGGAGGGGAAAGGACTGGGAAAGGACCAACAAGGTATCACTGAACTACCAAAGATCCACACCCAGAGGCATCGCTTAAGTCTGGGTTTCAAATATGGAAGCACTCCAACAAAAACACTCGGCTGGTTAGACATGGATGGACGTTTTGTCTATTCGAGTGAGCATTCCTCTCCAAGTCTACCAATAGAGCCTTTTGAGCACAATGGGAAGACATACCTAGGCCTAGAGATTTTTGCGAATGTTATTGATGTCCTAGCAATAGAGCCTAGAGGCCAGAACTTGAGAAAGAAGTGAAGGAAGGGAAAGAGGAGAAAAAAGAGAAGGAAAGAGAAGGAGGGATTAAGGGCCAAAGGCAGCCGAGGAAGAGGACAGGAAAGAAGAGCGAGCTGCTCAAAAGGAAGAAGAAGGGAATAAGAAGGCAAGCACCAAAGAAGAAGATGAGTACCCTGCAGATCAAGTGCTCAAGGTGTAAGTGTGAAGATACTAGTGGGTGGTATTCGGATTAAAATACTAGTTATAATTTCGTGCTTACATGCGCGGGTACTTAAACATTATTTTAAATAATTATTATTATTAAATTTTATTAAGTTTTTGATGTTCACATTGAAAATAAGAGTAGAAGTCTTTAGTTAAATAATGATTTGTTCATAAAACAATTGATATTTATGTATATCTTTGTATTTATTTTTCTAATGTAAGAGCAAGAAAACAGAGGTTTTAGCATATATATATATTCAACACTAATAGAAGCCGGTAAATATAATACTTCAATTCAAAGTTGTCTTTTATATAATACACCTCAAGCAGGGATACAAACTCCTTTTTTAATGATCTAATTTTATTGGAAAACACACTACTAGCGAAGGTTTTTTGTGGTCAGAATCTCTATTAGTTTTGGATAATTGGATAATTCATCTCAGTAGAATAACTGACCTTTGCTAAATGAACTGCATAGTGCATTGGCACATCAAGTTTGGAGGATTTAAACACTATGTTAACAACAATCTCGAAGACAATGCAACATAACAGTCTGAAAATACTATAAGGCCTCAGCATTAAGACTGAAAATTGTAAAAATAATAATAATAATAATAATAATAATAAATAATACCAATTTGGGCTAATGGCTTAGCACGATTTTACATTAAAAAAATGGTACTATGAGGAAGGACATAAAGAATTATCGCCCCATAACATCATAGATGGTAAAGGTTTTTGTCTCATAAGCCAACCCAGCTTTTCGTCACCCGAAAGAACCTAAATGCAATTAATTAGAGTAGAAACAAAGAAAAAAAAAGTTAAAATAAAAATATATAAATGAGAATAAAGGAACAAAGAAAGTTAACTAACCAGTCCAGCAATGATTAAAATTTTAGTTGAATCGAATTTCACTGCTGTTAACCATGTCACATTTTATAGATATAAAAGGAGTGATAATGTGAATTAACTTTGCTGAAGGAGTATAGATTATATAAAATTTAAAAACTTAAAAATTAAGATTTTAGTTGGATTAAGTTAATTGGATTAGGTTAGATGATTAGATTATATTTTTAAAATGATGAATTATCAATACTATATATTAAATATTAAATTGAAAAGAAATAATTAACGTTGGCTAATCAAAACACAAAAAATAAGTAAAATTCAAAATTTTCTTAAAAAAGAAAAATGGAATCTTAGGCAAAGGAAATGCATTGAAATTCTCTTTATTTCAACTCTCATATATATAATTTATTGTCACACTCTCAATATAATATATATATATATAGTATATAATATTATATATTTATCATTAATATATATTTTAAATCCCTAAATATCCTATTAAATTCCTTTTAAAATTATCTATCAAAATAATTCAAGCAATATACTTTAGTGGATTATGGGAGGACAATGGAGAAGGAATTTTCTTCGCTATATACCTAACTATCTGTAAGCAGATAACATTATGTATATATTTAAATCCCTAAATATCCTTTAAATTCCTAAAATATCTATCAAAATATTCAAGCAATATACTTTTAGTGGATATGAGACAATGGAGAGATTTTCTCCGCTATATACCTAACTATTCTTAAGCAGATACATATGTCCTCTATACGTATGAAAACCAAATGGGAAAACCAAGCAAGCACAATACTTCTTCTAATCTTCTACTCTCTACTGATTATTATGTTTCTTAAACTTTATACAGAAGTCATTATTATGTTTCTTAAACTTTATATAAAAGTCAACAGCACAAACTTTTGGGTTGGACAGAGTAATTTTAAAATATATATATGTAATTTTAAAAAATATATATATTATTAATTATTTTTATGAGTTTAATAATGTCCAAATATAACATAAATATAACATAAATATAAATCACCTGTATAAATTAATGAAAAAAGCTCCAAAACACGAGACTTTTATTACCTATAAAAAGTTTACCACGTACCTACAACTTAGCCGTTGGATATAAATTATCCATGTCGACTGCATGAATCAACTTGATCAAACATCCTTTGAAATTATTTATGTTTTTATTTTTAATGAATATAAATAAATAAATAAATAAAAGGATTGGAAGAAGAAGCTGTTTCTGAATATCAAATTGGTAACGAAAGAACTATAAGAAATCATGGATGACTGTACCCTTCCCAGTCATGACTGTAACCATTTTTGTAATCTTCGATCATGATTGGCCAAGTTCTGATCTGTCTACACTCAAGCTAGATACACTTTTTTTTTTCCCGCTAAATCGAGGAAATGAGATATGTTTCAACTTTTCCTAAGAAAGAATGTCTTCAAAGTAAACATGAGAAGATTTAGAATCAAACTACAGTAAAATGAGAAAATTGCTTGAGCTTCCCTTTTAACACGAGCGGTGGTCTTCATAAACTACAGAACATGAGCAAAGTAGATGCAGAGTCCACACATCAAACAGTAATCCTATGCACTTACGTAACTAGGATTCCCAAATGATATGAAGTGATAATTGAATTAATAACTAAAGCTGAAAACTTTAATTTTTATCCTAAATGGTTGTAGGCAATTGCCAAGGAATTAAAGTTACATAACAGCAGATTGACAAATAAAGGAGACAAACCTGCTGCAAGTAAAGGAAAAAAAAAAAATCAATATATAATTTAGGATAAATGGAAGTCTGTCAAGCAGTTTAAATTGTCAAATCGTGACTGCTGCCAGTCTCAATAAATTCAATCTTCATCATCCGAGTCGAATCTAATCTTCTTGGCCTTTGGAGCATCTGCAGATATTTCCCTGAAGTGAGCCCCATAAAGCTTGGACTCCTGCATTGACAAAAGAAACTGTCAACAGCTTCTAACTACACAACCAATCATTTGAATGTATCGACAACCCCTCACATAACGCATAAGGAGGAAATCAGGCATATGCTAACTAATCGCATAACAACGTGCTAATAACTAACCACATAACAACGACTAAGAGAACACGTTTCAAGTCCTTGAACTTTTTGGGATTTGTTATTGAGCTCCCATCATTCAACTGTGTTCTAGAGCCCATGAAATCTCCAATTTAAAAGACATCAAGAACTTCTTTAATGGCAATTTTTTTAATTAAAAAAAAAAAAAGAAAGAAAAAACCATTAATGTTTAAAAAAGCATTGAAAATTGTACTGCTCTGAATCAAGGAATTGCATCTAATAGACAACTCAAAATCACAGTTCAGTAATGGCTTCTTTCCATTTCTCCAGGCTTAATAATTTCTACAAGGAAAAAGAAGTACGAACTTGTATTATTTTTTACACTGACATTAATGAATTTACCACTGATTTTCATGACCTTTACTGAGTCAATGTAATAAAATGGGGAAGTTCATTGCTAGATAACACACAATTGAAGATAAAAGTCTCAATAGACAAATCTCAAAAAGTGTAAGAGCTTAAAAACGGGTTTTGCTGAAAACTAAAACTGCAAGCGTACATGCAAATATAAGCGGCAAAAGTCATTCAAAAGAAACTTGCACCTTTTTCTTCACGTGAGTGCCAAATTTCAAAAGGCCAGCTGGCACAACTTGTCCAGCTTCGCGGAGAATATTCACCAGCTCTCCAGCAAGTCCCTGGAATACAGCTGTTCATTACTTCCAAGAAAATATTGCCAGATGATGGATTACTTGAACCCCCATAATTTAAGCAGATTTATCCCAACTAGACTTTAAAGTTTAAACATTACCTTGTTATGATGTGTGAAAAATGTGTGAGCAACACCTTTCTTACCAGCACGTCCAGTCCTCCCAATTCTGTGGACATAATCCTCTGTCGTAAGTGGAAAACTATAGTTGATCACTACTTCAACATCCGGAACATCCAATCCTCGAGCAGCAACATCAGTAGCTACCTGCAAGCGTATTACATCAAACAACATTCAAGTTTATCAACAAGCATAACCAATGGAAATTACAGTAAATTTGGGTCCATGAGATTGGAAGTGTTGAACTAAAATTGGCCTCTCGACTTATAACTTTGGTTTGGATTGACTTGCCTCACACTCATTTTGAATACATATAACCCACCAATGCATCACTCAGTTCACCAACTTCTACAGACCAGGTTGATTACAACAATGTTTGAATGGAGCCTTCTTCCTCCCATCTTCAGCAACCCAACAGCCAGCGAATTCCTTTTTATTTTTTTAGTGCCCTCTCTAAACAGTTCATCAAACTTATCCACTCACCAGTGCCAAAAAAACCCTAGCCATCAACCTTATGTTGCCAGGACCAGAAATTAATGTAATTATTCTCAGCTGCTTTGACCTCAAGCAAACATCATGTTTTGGAAACATCCATCTAGGTTCAGAAACCCCTGAACTTATCGTGTTTTTTGAACATGAGGCCCTTGAACTTTGATTGCTCCGCATTAGTAATTACACCTCATATTTTTTACTTTGTTGATGGCAAAATTAGAATTCATGAGAAATTCATCAATAGTAAACACAAAAGTAAAAACATCAAAAATAACTGCATTAATTTCTCACATGGAAAATACTGAAGCTACAGGAAGGAAAACTTCAGTCCTGAACTTTCAGGCTTTGTTTTACGAAATAGTGCAATTTTTCACAAGTGGTGCAATATTTTAGTGATTTGCAAACTGCTACTAACGAATTTAGCATTAATTTTACCTTTCCCATGAACAAAGTCCTCAAAATGAAAAAATAAGACAAATTTAATGTTCCAGAGCTTAACATGAATAGAGTTCAAGTGCCTAATAAAATAAAAATAAAAATTTAAAAAAAAAAAAAAAAAACGCCATAAGTAGGATCCTAGGATGATGGTATTTCAGTCATTTTCCCACAAAAGCATGTATTTGTGCATCCTACATACAATTCAAAAATCCTGGAGTACATTTTCAGAGAGAACTGGGCAGAACAAAAACAAAACTGAAAAAGATGATTAAGCTGCAACTATTCATGAAAATAAAAAATGGTGCAGATACTGAGATCCCACCAATATTGCAGCATGATAACAACTGTAAATTTGTGATTAGAACATCAATTCAGAACATACCATCAAAGGACAGCTGCCCTTCTTGAACAATGATAGTGCCTTTGTTCGTTGATCTTGTGCTTTGTTGCCGTGTATCGAAACTACCTTCCAACCACTAGATCATCAAAAAAAAAAGGGGGATGGGGGCGTGTGAGTCCACCAAAAACATCAAGTATCTTCACAACTTTATTTTTCAGCAGCTGGATTCACAGCCAGAAACTTGGCTTGGCTAAAAGATAATGGAAAATCACAATAGTCTACCTCGTTTTTAGCATTCCATCAAGACGCTCAGCTTCCTTTTGGTACAAGGCAAAAACTAATACTCTGTTTCTGATCACAAGTATAACCCATGAATGAGTTGGAAGTGCAACAAATGAACATTTAAAGACAAAAAGTAATTTAAAAACTTAGTTCTAGATTAATAACTGGAAATTTGAAACTAAACGAAGTGGAAAGAGAACAAAAAAAAGAAAAAAGAAAAAAGATAACCAACAGCTCTAGATGTTTGGTTTCACATAAATAGGAGGCAACACTATTCAATTTTAACTTAAAACCTCAAGATCAAACTCTCATTTAAATTCAGGAAGGTTGTGAATATTTGATTTAGTTCAGTTAATGGTTTGATAATTTATTGTTATCAGTTTGGTTAACCAAAGAAATTAACCGAAATAATTATCTTCAAATATTAGGAATATATGAATTATAATTATTCTAAATCAAATATAAAATAAATCAAACTATATGCCAGTTTGGTAAAGTCAAATTATCTAAAGTATTTGGTTAGCATTTATAAATTTAAAAATAATGCCATCAACTTGAATTCAATAAACATAATGTACACCATTAGGCGCGGGGATAAGCAGTCAATCAGTTGGGATGAGTTCAAAATTGAAATAACCAAATTAAGTTGATTAAAGAAAGAAAGAAAAAAAGGAAAGGAAAAAAAAAAAAAAAAAAAAACATAATGCCATCAACTTGAATTCAAAGGTGAAACATAATGAGATTACAGCCGATTAGGCGCAGGAATAAGCAGTCAATCAGTTGGGATGAGGTTCAAAATTGAGAATAACCCATTAAGTTGATTAAAGGAAAGAAAGAAAAAAAGGAAAGGAAAAAAAAAAGAGATAAAAAAAGCAATCCAAATAAATTTGGTTCAGCTCAGCTATTTTATTCAGTTCTAAAAACGCTTTTAAAGAAGAGAAGATTGGATAACATATGAGATTAAATATGTTTATAAAAAAGCATGAAATTAAAGTAACCACGATATTAGTACTTAAGGAAGTTGGAACATTGACTTAGAATGAAGAAGTTAAAAAAAAAAAAAAAAAAAAAAAGCAATCCAAATAAATTTGGTTCAGCTCAGCTATTAATTCAGTTCTAAAAACTCTTTTAAAGAAAGAGTAAGATTTGGATAACAATTATGAATTAAATATGTTTAAAACATAAATTTAAGTAACACGATATTAGTACTAAGGAAGTTGGAACTGACTTATGAATGAAAAGTTGAAGCGACAGTGAACATGAAGGTTGCTAATATCTAGGCTTGAATCAGCATATACGTTGCAAAAAGAAAGATTTATCATCTCTAGGCTCCATTTCTTTCTATAAAATAACTTACCTGAAAACTTCTTCTAGATACATTTTGCTTAGGAAAATCAATCAATGCAAAATATTTTTTCAATCAAAGGGAAACTATGCAATTTTGAAGGAAAATAATTTCCTCTTTTTAAAAGAGGAAAACATTTTTCAGATATTGACAAACATAATACAACTTTATAAACACATACTAGTACACTGATAACTAATAGTCACCATTATCGATTACTGATAACTAATCAGTAATCACCACCACTCAGTGGCCATTATCACTGGTCATCTGAGACTACCACAATTATCATTTTTATGCATTTTTTCATATTTAACAATAAATTTCTAAAATATAAAATTCCTACAGTTCTAAAAATTTTTACAATCTTATAAAATAAAATTTCAATATTTTTGAAGTAATTTTCAATATTGCAACAAAATAACAAAAAGTGAGTTGTTGTATTGGAAAATGTTTCCCAAAGTTAAGTTACTTCCTAGAAATAAAGAGGCTAGATCTCTAAAAATTTTGAATACCACCAACCCAACTAGATATGCATTAAGAATAAGTAGAGTTTGAATTAGATTAGAGCTTTCTTTAAGTTTCATAAATTTATTTATGATCAATCTAATGAATGCCAAACAGTACCAAAATCCCACTCATGTTAGCTATTTTATCTCCTATAAAAGAAACTACGCGATTAAAATCAAAACATAGCTTAAGCATCTCAACCTCAGAAAAAGACACACTTCTATAACAAGAGGGTACCTTTGCGATTTATGATATTTTTCTAGTAAAGCAAGCAAACGTCCATATCTCGCATGTTCATCCAAGACCTACATTTATAAAATTGAATGCACCAACATCAGAAGATCTTTATCATAGATTAGAATGAAATATCTAAAATATGGTCCCCTGCCAGAAAATGGGAAACAAACCTCAACAATTTGCATGACATCGTGGTTGGCAGCCGTATCCTCTGAACCAACTACTACCTAAAAAATGCTCATTGTTTAACAAAGGACATAGATAACAACCAAACAAATTAGAATTATGTACGAATAATCAATACCTTAATGGGATGAGGATCCATATACTCCTCAGCCAGGTTATGAACATCTATAGGCCATGTAGCACTAAACATTATCATTTGGCGATCTGTATAGGTTAAGTGACTTGTATTAATAATCAAATAACATAAGTTTTACATTAAATGTATTAAAATGAACCAAACAAGTTAATTCATAGTTGAAGTAAGAAGACCATCACAAATTTTAAGTTAATTAAACATTAGATCTTCTCACAAGTTTTACTTAATGTAATAATTAGCCCCACAAAGTGTCTCCACACTTTCCTATTTGCGAAAAAATCATACATCAAAAGTTGAAGTTTTTCAATTTGTAGGACGAAAGGGTTCAAGCACCCGAAACTGTGTTTTTGCATCCCTTCTTTGAAATTTCAGCTATTAATCCAATTCAGAAACTTGTTTTCTGAAGTTGACAAAAATAACTAAGCCTTAGTCTCAAATTTGTGGGAGTTGACTATAGGAATCCTTTGTTTTCAATATCCACTCTGATTTAAATTCATAGTGGTACAAAGTGAAGTATAAATTGGGAAAAAATTTTAAAATACTTTTTGTGGACAAAAAATTTTTGAAAAGGAAATTTTTAAATCATTTGACAAGCATAAGGTAAGCAACAAGTAGCTACTATCTGCTATATGAAACTTTTATCTTCATGGGAATATCCTCACTAATATTCGAGAATCATAAATCTTTCATGACAACTTCCCTCCACACAATTCTAGGTCGACCTCTTCCCCTTTTAGCACCCTCTACTATCAAAATATCACATTTACAAACCAGAGCATTTAGGGGTCTACATTACACATGACCATAGTCAAGATTAGAAACAAATAATAATAATATTTCATTATTCATCTAAACAAAAAAACTGACTCATATTTGTGTCTTTTCCACTCGCCAATCCCCCTATCCCTCATCAAAAAACTAAGCTCCAACTAACCCCTTATTAACAAAAGACAAAATCCCAGCATCAAAATCAATTAAAAAATATCTTTCATTCACATAGAAAAATAACCCTCATAATATGAAATGAAGAATGAGATTTTAGAATTTTTTACAAATTTTTTTCTTTTCTTAAAACTATTTCTTTTAATAATTAATTAATTAATTTTTTAATTTCAATTGAATAATAAGCTCCATTTTACCTAGTGGAATTTCACATCAGTAAAAAAGTGTATCCTTTAATATCTTAAACCATATCATCAAATCTATCGTTTTCTCTATTAGACACTTAAGTATTAAATATAATAACAATATTGTTATTATTTAATGATATAGTATAAGATATTAATTAAGATTTTATTTTTCTACTAACGCGGAATTTTGTAGGTACTATGGACCCCATTACTCAATTGAAATTAAATTTTTAACTAATATTAAAATAATAATATTTTTGAAGGAAAAAAGAAATTCTAATTTTTAAAAAATCCCAATACATTCCTACAAAAGGAAAAATCATTTTTTTTTCATTAAATACTAATAGACTTAATGCATTTGGCATTTAATTTAATGAAGCACCAAAAGGATCTAAGCATGAACGAAAAACCTTTTAATTCCAGTGTCCCAAATACTACAACTTTTCTCAATCAAGTCTTCATTGTTGAAGTAGCTCACCTTAATGTTCCTTAGGACAACAACGGCCGACTTTTTACTCAAAAACTTGCTAAGTTCTCATTGAGGGCCCACTTTTACTTAAAAACTTGTTTAGTTGGTATTATGAAGTGAGGAAAAAAATGTCTTTAAAATGAAAAAGAAAAGAAGACCTTCAAATCTACAATGGAGACCATAATTCAAAATCTAATAGAGAACAAAGCATAAGTAAAGATCCAATCTCATCTTCCACAACCAATCTACAAATGACTTTCTCTATCTTATGTTCAATGACCAAAAGAAGAAGAAGATGACAATGAGAATGCATCAACATTTGCTTCTACTTGTGGAATTGTAGCGGCAACAACAAAGACACCATGTTACAACAAAATATGATTAAAGAGGGACATGAACACCAAAAGAATATGAATATCAAGAAAGAAAGAAAGGAAGATTATGCAACTTATCTTTGATACCCAAAAGAGATGAGTTTAAGAAGAGAATTCACAATTAATGTTCATCCCTCTCTAAATCCTAGAAGAATTTAAAGATTTTAAAAATTTTTTCTCAAATGATTAAGAGAGTAGAAATTACCCAATGGAATTGACTACAAAAATAATAACAAATTGATTGCTTAAAATACCCAATAAATCCATTTCCCTTTTATTTTGAATTGATTTTCTTTTACCATTGAAGTTACTCTGAACTGTTAAGATTTGCAAGTGAACTTAAAAAAAAAAAAAAAAAAAAAAAAAAAAAAAAAATACCCAAATAACCATTTTCCCTATTTTTGAATCTTGATTGTCTAAATTACCATTGAAGTTACGTACTGAAACTGTTAAGATTTGCAAAGTGAACTATAAAAAAAAAAAAAAAAAAAAAAAAAAAAAGCTCGGAAGCGTGGGTTTTCTCGTTCTACATCATGTCGTACTTACCTACGAAAGCCTAAAGTACATTAAGGGGTCTGGATCATAGGTTCCATTAAGAGGTTTGGTAAGATAAATAATAGTATATACGACAACTATAAATAAAAATAATACAACAAATATATATATATATATTATACTAATATACTTATAAATATATATATAAAATAGTAATAAGTATGAAATGATATAAAGACAAATTAGTTATGTTTTCTCTTCTTTGGAAATTTTTAATTGATTGAAATTTAATATTTGTATTTATGCATTTCATTATATATATATGTTTTTCTCTTCTTTGGATTTTTTAATTTTTAATATTTTGTTTTTTCATTTTCATTGCCAACTCAACAAGCTTCTAGGCAAAAGTGAACCCTTAATGCCAACTTAGCAAGCTTTTTTGGCAAAAGTGGGCCCTAGTCATCCTAGTCAACATTTAGAAAACCCAAAATCAACAATAAATATTTGGTTGAAAAAATTTCCGTTCAAACACCAAAAAAGATTAAAAAGTTCAAACATTAACAATAATCCCAACACATGTTTTCTGATTCATTTTTAGGAACCACAATTTTATTGCTCAATGCATTAGAATACTTGATGTTGATCATGTAGACTTGTAAATAAGATTCGGATAACACATATAATCTCAAAATGGAAGCAATAACATAGTTTCAAATAATTCCTCATAGCGCACCAAAGAGACATCCATAGAAAAGGTAGTAGCATGCTTTTAAAACAAAAAAACAACTTTATTATTCAAAATTAAATATGAAGAAACTATATCATGACAAAATATTACGATTTATATCTCTAGCCTCAATCAGATGGGGAAAAGAAAAGAAGAAGTGAAAATTGTGCACTAATTGAGTGCATGAACTAATAGATTCAAAAGACTAAAAGCAATAAATAAAACATGCATTATTATGAATTGAAAAAATAAAAGAAAATATATTAGAACACTTTGGATAAGGAGAAAAAAAAATTTGGAGGGACAGGGAGGGGATAGTGATATAGGAGGGTACATTTACTGAAAAGGTTTCAGTATCAATGACCTCATTTTGATTTTCCAGCACATTTTCTTTTCAAGGGGAAAAAAGAGCAATAAAAATATCACATACCAGAACATGTGTTGCTCAATATAGAGCGAACTTCTTGTCTAAATCCCATGTCAAGCATTCTATCTGCTTCATCAAGGACCTACAATAATCAAGATTAAGCAATAAAGCCTCTAGATGGTTAAACTAGCTTTACCATGAACACAGAGAAAAGCACACTACCCTTCAAATCATATAACATACTACCTACATTCCAAAAACCTCTAGATGGTTAAACTAGCTTTACCATGAACACAGAGAAAAGCACACTACCCTTCAAATCATATAACATACTACCTACATTCCAAAAAGGTTGTTCTACTATTTCTTTTTTGGATGTCCCATAATACATGCCCATTTCCACAATCAAAAAATTTCAAGAGTTAAACTTTCCTATTTTACCTCCCTATTAATTCTTCAATTCAAAAAGTGCATTAATTATGGCATAAAGAACACGTAAGGACCAAAAACAATCAACATTAAGCAATAAAGCCTCTAGATGGTTAAACTAGCTTTACCATGCACAGAGAAAAGTACGCTACCCTTCAAATCATATAATATACTACCTACAATCCAAAAAGGTTGTTTCCTTTTTTGGATGTTCCATAATACATGCCCATTTCCACAATCAAAATATTTCAAGAGTTAAATTTTCCTATTTTAACCCCCCAATAATTCTTCAATTCAAAGAATGCATTAATTATGGCATGAAGGACATGTAAGAAGTATAAAGGAAATATAAGAGAATGTAGCATTTATTATGTTGTCTTAAACCATGCGAAAAAGAGAAGACAACAACCCTTTGGGACCGACATAGTAGTGGTTCAATGTCTTTATCTTTTAGCTGTGGGAATTTTATTTTATTTGTCTTTCATGTTTCCTAAGTTCAAATGATAAAATAAAAAAGAATTCAAGAAAATTCAACAATTTTAGAAATATAGTTCAAATTTTCTGTGCAATTTATTGGGACATTCTAACATATTCCTAGTCTATCAGAGCCTTATTTACATGTCTTGTTAGATAAATTAGTTATCAGCCAATTACTTTAGGTCCATGAGGCAATTTTGTATTTTCAGCATTGCAAAAAAATCTTATCCCTGTTTCTTTAGGATTCTTTATACTTAACTTAAAGAGTCCTTATAGGCTTAGGTAGACATGACCATGGTTCCAAAACCGCCAATTCAGGTGAAACCAGAACCGGACCGCTTTAGGCAGTTTCTAAGACGGTTTTGGAACCGCCAATTTTGATTTTATGGTTTTGAACCGAAAGTAAAAAATATATTTTAAATTTTTTTAAAATGCTTTTTTAAGATTTGTAGCTTGAATAAATAATAACAATAGATATTGCTATTGAAAAAAACTAAATCAATTTAATAAAAACTCTTCAAAGTTACTTTTAAAAACCATAATAAAACAAAAAAATAAGTTGGGAGTTTCTTTAAGAACATATTTTTTACGATTTCAAACTGAAACCGCCGGTTTTGGTTTAAAACCACTGGCTCAAAAAAGTGAAGAACCGGAACCGAACCTTAAATTCACAGTTTTGGTTACAATTTGGAACCAAAAGCGTTGACTATGGTTTAGCGCTGGTTTTGACCTGTTTGGTTTCGGTTCAGTTCTGGTTCAAAACCGAACCGTGGTCATCCCCTAGGCTTAGGGTAATATTATCACTTTTAAGCTCCATTTGTTTCATGAAAAATAACTTACCTATGGAAACATTTTCCAAGAAAGCAACTAACATATTTTGTTGTTTGATCACAATATTGAAAATCAGTTAGAAGTTATTTTCCAATGTTTGAATATATTAAAAAATAAATTTTTAAAATTTACAACCGAAAAGTTTGACCCATAAAGTTATTATTTTTATTAATTATTGAATATTGCAAAACAGAAAAAGAAAGAAAAGAAAAAGGTAAGAAAAGAAAAAGGTGCTGAATTATGGCGTCACATATGCCCAATGGAGGCCAAAAACTACCAAGGATGACCTGTGGTGGTCAGTAGACTAAGAGGTGTATACTTCCTGTATATTCACTTCTAATAATTCTATCAAAGCTCGAAAAACATTTCATCTTTTGAAAAAAGGAAATAACATTCCTTAAAAATGACATTTTTCCTTGTGACAATGAAACATTTTACATTAGCCACCCTAATCATCAAAAGACATGTGGAAAGTGTTCTCCATGAAAATATTTTTCATCAAACAAAGGAGACTTTAGTGTAATTTTAGTGCAAATCTTGAGAGGATACGAAATAGTTTTGAAGTCCTATTCTTATGGGTTTAGGATTCGCTTTGAATCTTCAAAAACCTATGCTTGCAATGGTTATCTTAACTTTTGCTATTGAAGAAAAAGAAAAAGCAATTGTGATACTTTGATGCAATTTATCCTAGGTGTGATGCCTAAGAAAATTTTAGTATGACGCCCAAACACCCTTGATTTTACTATTCATAGTGCGTTAATTTCTCCGCAAACTTTCACTTTGTGTTCCCTTTGCCTCTTTTCACAATGATAGGATATGAAGAGGGAAAGTAAAGAAAATAAAGAGGAAAAATAAGCAAGGAAATTTTTAAATGGCAATTTTATCTCATTCCTTTGTTTGGATTGGAAGGAGATAAACTCATAGTTTTCCTTTCTTATTCCCTCTCCAAATTTGGGAGAATGGGACCAGATTCCTGATTTTCCACTCTTTTCCCAAACAAGGGAAAACATCAATCTACCTTTATTTTTCTCTGTTTATTTTCTTTCTTTGCTTATATTCCCCTATCCAAACAATGTGAATCTAGTCCCATACAAACTCCAAATTATTCCCCTAAATACTTACCCATTCTAGCATCTAATTAAATCTGAGATTCAGCCTTAACAGCCAGGCCCTCAAGCTGTCATAGATCAGTTTGGTTATCTTCAAGATCCTTGTTATTGCTTAATCTTCACTAGCTATGGTGTCCAATCTCTAAGCAATTTCAAAGATTTTCAACAAGAGTCCAATTCTTTTCAACAAGATCATGAAGATGCAAAGAAATTTTTGAATTGGATGGAAGGTAAAAGTTGGATAAGATGCTTAAGAAAACATCAACCGCTAGCTCTAGCAAGCAACCATTGCTAGGAGCAACATCCAGTCACGATCCATAGCCTGTGCCTAGTCACAAGGTACCATGGATGATGTTAGGAAGGTCGTTTAGATCCTACTCTCTTTTGCAATTGGCTCAATTCAATTGAATTATACTTAGACCAGTATGGAATGGTTAAAGATTGCAAGATTCAGTTTGCTGCTAAGGTGAAAGTTATCAGGCTAACTAAGATATAGTGGCAGGAATTGAGTGAGATATGTCAAGATTGAAGTAACTATCAATTAGTACATGGCAAGGATGAAAGCTAAGATACAAGAAAAGTATTTGCCACCCAAGATGCATGAAAAAGCGAACACTTCTAGATTGGCAGCATGCCAGTGGTTGGATATGAACACCAATTTGAGGAGTTGAAAACTCAAAGTGAAGCTGTAGGAGGCACTACTTAAGCATTGTCAATAGTTGCTAAGGATAATAATGATGGAAACAAATAAAAACAGTGCCCCCAATATGTCACACAAAATGACTTCAAAAGCAGGTACAGGAGCAAAAGTTATGAACAGGAATTTCTGGACAACAAGAGATAATAGCAGTACAAGAACCAGAGGAACTTCTCCACAAAGAAAGTTGGAACAACAAAGCCAGCAACTAGAAGAGCCTCTGTTGCAAGCTGGCTGGTCCACTTATTTACTACCATTCCAAAAGCTGAAACATAAAAATTTTTAACTTGGATTCGCCTCCACAAGAAGTCAAAAATGAAGAACAGACAGAAAAGCAAAAGGTGGTTTTTGGAATCAATTCAACTACAACATAGCTTGGAAATTCTTTTAAATTCTGCAAGAATATTGGGTTGCCCATAAGTTTTTGAAATTTTTTTAATTTCAATAGCAATATTGACTTTTCAGTTCACATAATTAAGTTCTTTTTGTACATTCATCTGTAATTCTTTGATTTGTTTAGGTCTACTTTCTATTCAAAATGAGGCTTTTAATTGTAAGTGAGAAACTTTTGAAGAAGAGCACTATCAAGCAACAAATAAAACAACAAATGAAGATTAACAATTTGCAATGAAAGGAGGTGAAACTAGATCCTTTCAAGAATAAAAAATAAAAAGAAAATTGGAATTGCTTCCTCCAAAGGAGTTCGGGAATTAATGCAAGGAACTCTTTGTTAAAAACATTGTTGAAAGAAAATTCAATAGAAAAAGGGATTACGTTATTGTTGAAAGAAAATTCAATAGAAAAAGGGATTATGTTATTGTTGAACAGTTGAAGACACCAAAGATATTGGATGTATGCTAACTTGAGAGTTGGAATTCAAGAGACCAGCTTTGTTATTCTAAATAAGTTTAGTCCAAAGGGAGCCTTCAAGTATTTTATTGATGCTAACAACAGGCTGTTCAAGAAGTTCTCACTTTTGTTGTGCAAGCATTTCAAAACTCTTACACAAGTTTTCTCCGACCAAGGGAAAATGATGCAGAAAAAGAAATTCAAGGAATTGAAGACTTTTACAATTATTGTTAAACGGCACAGTTTCTACTTGTGTTAGAGTCCTATTTATATACCTAGTTAGATAAATTAATTGTTGGTCCATTGTTTTAGATCAAAGGAGCATTTGTGTAATTTTTACCTTTGCTAGAAAACATGTCCCTGTTTCTTCAAGAGAATTTATATTTATTCTGTCTTTTTTTAGAGTCATTATTGGCTTAGGAAAATCAAACTTCTTGTAGTTTACTTGGATTAAAAACCCTTAGAGAATGAGAATGAAAGTTTAGGGTTACTTATAGCCTATGAGCACAATCTATAATTCAGTTTTTGCTATTGAATAAAAAAAGCCAGCAACTATGCCACTTTGAGTTGTGAGATGCAATGAGAAGCCTAGCAGCCTTCTACTTTACTTTTCATGGTATTATTCGAGTGCTTCAATCTCATCAGAAACAATACAATCGTCCTGTTTTTCCTCACTTTGCCTCTTGACCTATTCCCATATAAACCTAATTAACAACCACCAAGCCTAGTCCCAAACTAGTTGGGGTCGGCTATATGACTTTCATAGACACCTAATTATTCATCCTAAATACTTACCCATTATAGGCTTCAATTAGAATCCAATATTCAGTCTTAATAGCCCTTCAAGCTGTCATATGTCCCATGATCACCCATGTTAAAGAGATAAGTTTCCAGATATTTCAAATGTCTTCTTGATCCAGACAACAAGATCCAAGAAATAAAACATTAATGAATCAAGATATAGAATTATGTCCATGTTTAGTATCACTGAGCACTTTCCAGTCCTTTTAGAGTTTGCTTTTTCATATCTATTCAAATTAACTACATGCATATTGTAATTTTATTTGTACTTTATGTTTCCTAGGTTTACATGATCACCCAAGTTAAAAAGATAAATATCGAGATATTTCAAACACTGATTGATGTGTGTTGTCGCTATTATGAATCTAGCCTGTAGTTTCTGAGTATCTAATGCGCCCCAAGTGTCTATCGTTTTTGCCTATCCAGATTTTTTTAAATGGGGAATTTCATATTTTATGTTATGTCCCACCAATTGAAAAGATCAAGTTCGAGTCTTTCAGATGATTGGGTCATTGAGTTGGTTCAATTTTTTATTCCATTACTGTGATTTCTTTTCTTTATTCTCATATCTTTTCAACAAGATATTTAGAGCTAATGGATGGTATAATTTGTTGGAAAACAGAATGATACAAAACAAACTTGATCGAAACCTACAGCATTTTTTGTTATTTTGGGTTTATGAAAATTTGAACCAAATTACTTGAACCAACCGTCTCCCACCAATAAAGAATATGTAGCCACACAAAAAATACCATCAAACAGTACAAACTTCCGTCATAATTTAGCAAAAGGTTAATAAATAACTGTTTACTTACCACAAAAGATACTTCCGTTAGGTGGCATACATTCATTTCAATCAAATCCTTCAACCGTCCAGGGGTTGCAATGATAATGTCCTGAGCATAACAAAAAAGAACATTATAATGATTAATTACTAGAAAAAAGTGCAGCACATTAAACATATACAAATATCATAAATGAACATATGGATGATAATATTCATGCAAGTGTACAAATAAGATACAGCATAAAAAATTTATCTGCAAGAAAATAAATCATCTCTTATAGCCGAACAAAACAAAAGAAAAGTAAAGAAACCCACCTGAAAAAATTTGTCCAGCCTTTACATCTCTCAAAGAATTAAAATAATAGCTTCTATCAATTATTATTGTATCACATTCAAAATATATGGATCTTACAATTAAAATGATCTTTCCTAAGTTCCAATTTAAAAGACTAAGGTCTTATAGGATTAGGAGGAAAAGAAAACCATAGGCAGTGTTTCCTTGTCATTGTTCCTTTCTTTCCTTTTCCCCAAATCATACTCATGTAATTCTTCCAATTAAATAAGGATTGGCCCTATACAGTGCTAACCCCTTGTTCTGCTTAAGGAAGAGAATTCTAGGTGTCATTTCTGGAAAATATTCTTTTCATTTTTGTATCTACTTCTTGGCAATTTCCAAAATATTTCAATCAACCATAAAGCTGTATGTTTTTCACATCCACTTTCAAGTAAAACTGTTGCAAGTAACACCTTAAAACTGTTCGTGGAGGTCACTAGCAGACTACAGGTCCTGAATTTTGATGATGTAGCAAAATAAGCCTAATCCTAAATTAGGTCAGAATTGACATAAGAATATTGAAAAGAGAGGACAGAGACCAAAATATCAACCAAAATAGACTGGAACTTCTAGTTACAGAACCAGGAAAAACAATTAGCAACAATAGGTTTTTATTATTACTCAAAAATCTAAACTCTGCCTGTAGATATGACATTACGTCCCATAATATAGCATGCATACCAACTAGAATAGAATTTAAACGTAAAACTTAACACACAAAAAACGACTTTGAACTTAAAATCCTGACAGATTTAGGTTTTGCACCAAATTAACAAAAAGACTTGATAATCCAAAATTATAATATAGTAGCATGAACAGCACAACAACTAAGTCTTAACCCCAAACTGGAATGAACGGTAACACTAGAAAATGCTAGACAAACTCTTGCATCATTTTAACTTCTCTTGTCTAGACATATCCAACAAAGCAAATCTCCTTTTTATACTCCTGTCAATCCATAAGCACCTAAATTACCTGCATACAACAATTAGTCATTTTAACCCCTCAAATAACCACTGCCCATAATTTTCCATCTGCAGGTTATCAATTCCTTATTATCCATCAGAAAAAAATAAAGCTCCAAGAATTAAAGGGTGAATCTCCAAGATGCATAGCAGTCTCCAAAAAGATTACATGGAGATTATAGAAAAATAAAGTTTAGGACTCTTGATGTCAACCCTCCATTTACACTTTCAATTGAACCGAAAAAACAACCTCAAACAATGATACGGTAACTTATTTAGCCAAAAGAAATTAATAAAAATAGCCACATAAAATTAGGAAGAGAGAGCGGAGCATCCTACAACACCAGACTTCAGTGAAGAAATTTGAGGTCCTTTGGAGGTTCCTCCATATAAACACACTGATTTCACACCACAAGGTTCCCCAGCATCATGTAGAACAACTGAAATCTGCAACCAAGAAAAAAGAAAAAAAAAGACGGAAATTATCATCCCATGCTTTAAGAAATTAGTTTCAATAAATAACAAAAACAAAACAGTTATAAGGACATAATCTATGCACTAAATGAGAATAACAAGAAGAAAAGGAAAATATTACAAAAATAATACGTGATCAACAAAATCCTAACTATGTAGAGTTTCCTTGTTGCCAGTGACTTAGAATCACTTCAAAAAATATATCTTATCATCACAGCACGCAAATGCTCTATTGCACTGCTTTGGCTTGCTGTTGGATCATCATCACAAGATGCTTTTCCTCTTGCCATTGTGAAGTTTGAAGGCATCTTGTGAAGGATCCTTCACCCTTCCGTAAACCTGTATGGATACAGGCTTCCAGTCGCAACACCATGGAACCATAGCAGGAATCTAGAAATTCAATAGACATACATGAAATTTTTCCTTCTCATGCAATTCTCAATTCCCATTTCATAGATAAGTTCCAGCAAGATCATTTATCGCACCAGAACATAATCATTTGCCAATACTGTCTTCATTAGACCAAGATACTTACTTGATCAGCTAATTCCCTTGTAGGCGCAAGTACAAGGCAAAGGGGGTTCACCCTCTTTGACAATGCCCCTTTTCGTTTCTTCAAAACATGCATCACTGCCGGTATCCCATATGCCAAAGTCTTGCCTAAGACCAATAATGAAAAATAAAAAAACAAATCACACAATTCAGAAATCTGAATCAATTCATATTTCATCGTATCAAATTTAAAAATAAAATTCTACCTGAGCCAGTCTTTGCAATCCCAATAAAATCACGCCCATCCAATAAAAATGGCCACGCATGGGCCTGAATCGGAGATGGATTTTTAAAACTCTTGCAGCATTTCAAGACACTATCTGGCAGGTTAGACTCGGAGAACGATGTTAATGGTGCATATTTTGCTTCTTCAGCATCCTTTCCAGTAACCGCCACTGCCTCTTCATCACCTTCTTTGCAATTAACATGCGTTAACTCATGCCCATTGTTATTTTCATGGAGCTTGATTTCTTCGTCCTTGTCTCCGCCATTTTCCTTTTCTTCCTTTCTCTTTTTCTTCTTTTCCTTTTTCTTGAAGCCTTGTTGAATTTCAGTTTCCTCAAGCTTTCTCTTTATATTTAGTTCCTCTTGTTCGTCAAAATTAGATTCTTTGTGCTTATCCTTCTTCTTCATCTTCTTCTTCTTGTCAGTTTGTTCGCCAAATTGCTCGCCGCCAACAAGAGCGGGTTCTTGGTGCTTCTTAACCATGGCTGCAGGCAAAAACTCGAAGCGGAGCTAGACACCAAAAATAAACAGAGGTAAGAGGGTTTTGGGTTTTAGGTTTAGCTGAAATATTCTACTCACCTTCCTCCGGAAAAACAATTTACCATCTCCTCTCAAAAACCAAATCAGGTCAAGTATATATATAAAAAAAAAAGAAAATGAGGGCCGAATATATATATTCACTCTCGTATTATTAATTAAAAATTTTTATGGTATGTTCCGTGTTTGTTTTAATTCATATTAAACACTTTTGATTTTAAGCACTTTTGATTTATAAAATTAACTTTTAAAACATTTTTATAGGCTTATTAAATATTTTAACATACAAATTAGATCACTTAAATAATTATTAAAACTATGAAAATTTGTGTTTTAAAAATTATATTAATTATGTATCAAATTAATTTTTGCATATAAAAATTAAAAATCTAAACAACTGTTATTTTAAGATTTAAAGTTACTAAATCCCTCAACTTTTAGGATATATAGTAAGTCTTTCGTAAAATTTGGGATGGCAAAAAGTTTTTAAAAAAAAAAATAGTAGTAAATTTATGTGTTCAACATAAAAATAAAAATATATATATAGTAGTAAATTTATGTGTTCAGTATAAAAAAATCATGTGGCACACTAAAATTTACAAAAGATCTATTCTATTCCACAAATTTTATAAAATTGAATTATTAAACACTTCAATTTATGAAAATTATGTTATTCAAGGTATCATCTTGTAAAGTTAGATAAGTTATATATCTATTAGATAATTGAAAAATACTAAAATAAATGCTTCAAAAGTTGTACAACCACATAATAAGATCAATATTTTGATTATAAAATATAAGAACTATAAAATTATTTGTATTGGTGTGGAGAAGGGCATGATATATGCAAACTCAAAAGTTGAGAGGCACAATGCACAAAGTTCAATGTGTCACATGGATAAAGTTGTAAAGTTTTAAAGTAAATCCTTGTATTTAGCCCCACAAATCACAAAATTGTCTGAGCAAAAAAAAATGTGGATGCATGTTTGTTACACCTATGCAAATGTAACTTCGTGAGAAAATAGTTAGGTTGAGTAAGCTTAAATAGGTTCGAATTGAACAAGAAACAAAGGAAAATCAAGCTCAAAGATGACCTCCTTTCACACTTTCGGCTATAACTTAAGCTACAAATATAATATTTAAGTAATTCAAGTTAGGCTAGAAATTAGATATCTAAAGCTTTTAAACAGCATTTGGCACTAACTTGAAATGGATTAAAAATCAATCAACCTAAAGAGAAACTGAATCAATCTATAATTGAACCAAACCAAAGACTAAACAGACTGTCAGGACATGCATCACCACAGCTTGACTGCAAGGAAACTACCACTGAATCAACACCATATCGAACTTCAGTACTCTTTGCAAACTGAATCGACACCCAATTTTCTCCAACCCCACATTGAAAATGCAACCTTTTCATCTTCATCCTAGCACTATATAGAGAGTAGTCGTACTTCACCTCAGGACACCCAAAAATACTCAATAGACTGATTTCTTAGTATTTCTCTCTCTTCTCTCTTTCTGCCTTCAACCATTCTAAGCAAGCTAGAATGAAATCCTCCAAAACTTGTCGTAGGTCCTGAATATGGAACAAACCTAAGATTGGGTGTGAATTGGATTTTTCTAAAATTTTGGACTTTTAAAACAACCAAACTTAAAGTTGTTTGCAGCATAATATAATAGTTTTAACTGAATTTATAAAAGAAATGAATATCATAGTAAAATCAAACTTCATGAGGGAGAGTAAATATGCAATGTACTCTTTTTCCCTTTAACCAAGGTTTTTTCCACTAGGTTATCCTAGTAAAAGTTTTTAATGAAGTAGTATTTTCAATGTGTATTTAAGAAAAGAATAATGTACTCTTTTTCCTTCACTGAAATTTTTTTCTATAGAGTTTTTACTAGTAAGGTTTTAATGAGACATATTTTTTGACAAGTGGACATCAAAAGGAGAGCATTCTGAAATTAGTGGATATTATATTTGGGTGTGAGCCCCCTCCCGAGCGTTGTGGGAAAGATCCGAAGGACGGAGTCGATCCAGACGGACCCCATTGGTCGGTTTGTTCTGGAGACTGGGAGGAACTCCTTACGGTTCCTATGTTGTTTGATTGTTAGATTGATTATGGCTCGGTTTAGTGCTTAAGTGATGCCGGGTTGGCTCTTTAGAGCATTTTGATAGGTGTGTGATGTGATAGAGTCACCATCTTTAAAGCATTTTGACAGGTGTGTGATGTGATAGAGTCGCCACCTTAATTTTGTTTTTGTTTTCGGGAAAAAGATTAAGGAAAAAACCCTGTGATAGACTCCGTTTTCAGTTTGCCTTTAGGATAAAATGCACTAGCCTCGAATCATTGGGTTCGGGGACTAGGTTTTCAACTTGTTTCGAATGAATCAACAGTGTGGGTCATAATTGAGAAATCAAAACATTATTTTGCATGAATGTCAGTCTATCAATGCATGAACATACTAATAATGCATTGCAATATCAAAAATATAGTGCATTAAAAGTAAATAAATGAATAAAGGGTGTACAATTCGGAGGGAAACCCGACTCTAGCCTCGTTTATCAAGGATTCTAGATCATGCGACACATTTTCTTAAAACCCGATCGGCCAGCTTGGTCAGGGGCCCGCTATTTACGCTGAAATTCATAGGTATATCTTCATACCTCGTTTGTACGAGGATCAGGGCGCACGAAGTTCTACCGTCGATCATGATGGTAGGGTTTTAAAGGAGCCACTCGAGGAGTGGGCTTAAAGGATTTGCTGGGCAGACTGGGCTTAGTTGAAAACTGGTTTTATTGGTTTTGCTGGATGGACTGGGCTTAAAGCATGCAAAGTGCTGGACGGACTGGGCTTGACAGTTGATAAGGTGCCGGACAGATCGAGCTTAATTTAACAAAGTTGAGTTGAGTGATTATACCCTTGTGTTTATGATTCAACCGGATCAGAGCTCCACGATGGTTAATGACCAAAGAGGTCGAGTCTTTCTCCAAATCAAGCTAAGGGAGGGTGCAAGGACCTAAATTATAATCTTATATACTAGCGTTAATTAACAAACTATTAATTAATTCTTAAATTAATTAATAATAAATTAATTAACTAATAGCTTTAGTCTAAGGAAGACTAAAGTGCTAGTGAAAGTTGAAAAGATCGACTTTTGAGATCCAAGTCGGGCTTTGTCTTAACTAAGAAAGAAGAGCAAAGTCGGACTATAAGGCCTTAGAATTGTTCGAGGGAGATTGAGAGTCGTTGATGCTTGAGAAGCGCTCGATCAAACAACAAGAGATGTGTAAAATGAGAGGGGAAGCGCATATTTATAGGCCAAGGAGCTGCTGGACCAGGGACACGACAGTATTGAGATCCCTAAAATCGGTACTACAATGCTCCATTTCGGTATCGATCAAGGTGATCGGTAGGCACCAGATCGGGATCGATCTGGGGCTCATCGGCACCGACTAGGAGCTTGTTGGCACCGATCAGGGCAAATTACTGCCATGCCCCTGGCCTTTGATTTTAAGGTTTTCGGGCTTTCGAAGGTCCGTTCAGGCCCAAACGACTCCCAATCGAACTGATTCTCATGCCATCAAAACCGTAGTGAAATTTCCTAGGGTCCGATGCTGAAATCATGGTCAATATTGGGTTAGAAGTCTATATTCCTAATTAGTGAGAAGTCTATCTTCCTAATTTATATAGGATCCTATTTTCCTTATTAAGGTACCACTTATGTACCTATATACATGTGGTTTCTCATTAATAAGAATGATATTCTCATATTTTTTTATCTCTATTCTCTCTACTTCTCTCCCTATTTTCTATTATTTTATAACATTTCTTGCAATTAAATATTATTTCCTAAATTAATGTATTTTTTTTGGTTTGATTTAGGTAAATCGAAGCAAAACCCAAGTTGACTCAAACTAACCCATTCAAACCCAAATCAACTCTCCCTATAAGTTTTCACTACAAGAAAAATAAGTATTATTACTACTACTAATAATAATAATAATTAAAAAAAAGAAAGAAAAAGAAAAGAAGAAGGGACTACACTACATCATAAGCATCTATCCCTTATCTTTTCTCTTCTTCTTCTTTCCCCTTCCTTTCAACGATATCTTTTCCTCTCACCAAACAACTTCGGCCACCAACTCTACTTACCGATGATAGCTCAACTCCAGCTGGACTCTCTCTACTCCTCTCCTCTACTGTTGTGTCTCCATTGGTTGAAGTTTGGAGCTCTTTCTTCTCTTGGAAAATAATGGCAGCCATGGTTTTACTTGTAGTAGCTTCCCCTTTACTACTAGTAAGTGATATTAATCCATTTTATTATTCCATTAGTTGGATTCTTGAAGTAGAGCAACTAGATTTTGTGATTTAACTTAAGAATGAAAGTTTGGATTAATGATATTTGATTTTTTATTTTAAGGGATATGATGGAACTAAGCATAAGTGAATATTATGGACAAGATTAGTATTATAGAAATGAAGCAAAATAAGTTAATGAGATATTGATTATGGGAACTATTGGCATTAATAAGCGGGTATGGGTATGCACATGACTAGTCTTTTAACCCGGGTCCATTAATAATTATTAATGTGTCTAATTATTATTAGTATTTAAATAAGTTTCAATATAATTCTAGTTGGTTACAATTAGAGAGTGTGAATTTTAATAGGATTACTCTAACTTGTTGTAATCCAACTAAAATAAAAGAGTAGGAGAACACGTTTGAAACAACCCGGAATTTTATTTTCAAAAATTTTTCATTTAAAAATTTAATAAATTAACACCCTATGAATTTATTTGACCAGTTAAATGTAAATGTATAATTTATATAATGGAACCAAACCCACAATTAAATGAAAACCCGAATAAAACCGATTGGAGATCGAAAACCACAAAAAAATCACGATTTGGACCGACCAAACCCGAATCAAACCAAATCAGTCATAAGAACCTAACCCAAACAAATTCTAGAAACCCATTTTCTTCCCCTTAGCGCCGACTTCACCCCTCCCCCCTTTTCCCTTTCATTTTTCCGATCACCAAAGACCACCACTCCTTACCATCGTCACCTCCTCAC